ACTGTTTTTCCTTGCACACAGTTTAGTTAAAAATAGTATATTTCAGAAAAGCATTTAAGAGCACACAGCTGATTTCCAGATTTTTACCATACTTACTCCTTCTTTGTAGAAACTAGTGAACCAGCAATTTAAAGGTGCTAGATCCGCGTCCGCGCGCTGGGACCCCTCGGTTTCCCGCTTTTGGAAAATTTTTGAACTGCGCTTGTGATCCTTTATATATTAGACATGAGAATGTCAACAAAAAAAGGATCCATTATTGCTTATACCAAAAATGGTCTCAGTTATTAATAGTACATTCAATTTCGAAATACTTGACCAAATCTCTCACCTTGAGCATTCCCTCCATGTCTAATCGAAGCAGTTCGAAACGAGCTTGTTGTAGGATCGACATAGCGACACGAAATATAAACTCCAATCCCTGCAGAACAAATGAGTTTATGAAGAATGGATAAACACGTCAAGGCGTTAGCAATCGAAATCATATAGCAGTGAAGACTTATGATAAACAAATTCGAACATATCAGATAATCGATTAAGGATAGATTGCAAAATGTCTAGTTAAAAAAGGACAAATTCTCAGATACAAAAACATAAGAAAAGCTACTCCGAAGTACCTCAATGAGAAAGCAATCCATAATACGATTGGCTATTCTAACTGGCAGGCTGGTTGTAAATAGCGTGAGAAACCACGACGACGCATACATTGAAGTGTCAAATCCCATGTTGTTAAAATGGCTGTGTAAGTCCGGCATCTGAAAGAGCGATCGTTATAAGAAATTACAATCTAACCTTCTGCTCTTCTTACCTGTTCTTGGACAAGACACTCTAGCTGAAACATGCACAGGCCGAGATCTGTCATGGCCGGCTTGTAGAGCTCACGAAGACGATAATTCTCCATCAAGCGAACCAGCACTGCAAAAGCTTCTTCCTCCGGCATCTAAAATCAACGAATAGAGGTCCCAAACGACAAGGAAATCAAGCTCAAAGTGATTACCTGCATCAATAACAAGCCAACAATGAAAGCACTTCCTTGACAGTACCCGACTTCTTGATCATGGATGGAGTAGGCCTTGAAAAAAATTTTGTAGCTGTCTGTTGAGATCAGGATGATCGGAACAAGGCTAGGTTTAAGATTAAAAAAAGAGAAACTACAGCAGTATGGGCTCTGCTAGGCTTTGTGAAAAAATAGATCCAATTATAAGATCAAATAAAAAAAGTTATGACAAGACAGTGTGACGATGTATTATAGTGTTGACGAAATTTTATAGAAGATTGCTCACTTGACCCACGAATAAAATATACCAACCTTTATTACATTAAAAAGGGATGCCTGTCCCCTTCCACCGTCTTTGAAAAATTCTTCTTCAGGATATGTACGCGAGATGTCTCGTTGTATAACCTGGAAATGCTCGAAACTTATTCAGCAAAAAACCAAATTCGCTCAGAAATTATTGATTCCAGTCACAACTGATTCCAACATGACTTAATGGCTTTTATAATTATTGCAACATTATTGCTTAAACAAGCCCTACATTAAGTCTCATTTACGCACTGGGTGCACAGAGATGGTTGAATGAGGCTGGCAGAAATTATGTAAACAGCAGCTGGCTAAATCCACCATATGAGCAGGATACGCAATTGGGACAGAAGTGAACTTAATTTGATTTGTAAGCACTAACTCGGAAAAATGAGAAGGGAAAGACGGAAAAACATAGGAAGATAAGTTTACCCATGTCAATG